TCTGCTCTCTCAGGTACTGTGTCGACTTCACCCTCTCTCACTTTCACTCTTGACTCCGGGGCGTCTCGCTCCTTCTTTCGAGACCGCACCACACTCACTCCGCTTAGTCGGCCAGTGGCGGTCTCCTTGGCAGACCCCTCTGGGGGTCCTGTTCTGGCTCGCTACTCCACTGTCCTGCCGTGCCCTGCGGTCCCGTCTGGCGCCCTGTCCGGTCTCTACCTCCCCTCGTTCTCTACGAACTTGGTGGCGGGTGCTGACCTACAGGATGCAGGGGTTGACCAGTTCACCCCTGCGCGCCGACGAGTCACCCACTGCACGGACGCGGACACGGGTCGACACCTGACCACATTCACACGTGGTCCAGGGTCGAGCCTGTACACACTCACTGTTCCGTCTCCTTCTCCTGCGTCTGGTCAGGTAGCTGCGTCGGGTCAGGTGTTTGCTGCAGCGTCCAGGTCTGGTCCTGAGTCTGCCCCCTGCTCGTGTCGCCTCCTGTCCCACGAGACCCTCCTGTGGCACCACAGGATGGGTCACCCCTCTCTGCCTCGTCTCCGGGGCATGGCCTCTCGCCTTCTTGTCTCTGGCCTTCCCCGGTCCCTCCCTCCCCTTCCCCCGGGGCCTGGCCCTCCCTGTGTCCCCTGTGTCGAGGGTCGCCTGCGGGCTACCCCTCACTCCTCCCCGTTCCCTCCGACGGAGGCCCCGATGCAGACGCTTCACATGGACGTGTGGGGCCCAGCCCGCGTCCGTGGACAGGGTCACGAGCGCTACTTCCTGCTGGTGGTTGACGACTACTCGCGTTACACCACAGTCTTCCCCTTGCGCAGCAAGGGTGAGGTCACTGAGGTGTTGATCGACTGGATCCGCGCAGCTCGTCTCCAGCTCTGGCGGAGCTTCGGCTCGGACTTTCCTGTTCTGCGTCTGCATTCGGACAGAGGCGGAGAGTTCTCCTCCGGCCTTCTGCGAGCCTACTGTCGGGCACGAGGCATCCGCCAGACCTTCACGCTTCCGGACTCACCACAGCAGAATGGGATTGCTGAGCGCCGCATCGGCATTGTCATGGACGTCGCCCGTACGTCCATGGTGCATGCGGCTGCCCCCAATTTTCTGTGGCCGTTTGCGGTTCGGTACGCCGCGCATCAGATCAACCTTCAGCCCAGAGTCTCCCGACCGGAGACCTCCCCAGCTTTGCTGTGGACGGGGAAGGTTGGCGATGCGTCGGCGTTCCGTGTCTGGGGATCTCGGGCGTTTGTCCGCGACTTGTCTGCGGACAAGCTGTCCCCTCGTGCTGCTCCCTGTGTCTTCCTTGGCTTCCCCACGGACGCTCCCGGGTGGCAGTTTTACCACCCCTCCTCTCGTAGTGTTCTGTCCTCCCAGGACGTCACGTTCGACGAGTCAGTCCCCTTCTACCGCCTCTTCCCCTACCGCACTCCTTCCCTCCCCCCTCCGCCGGACTTCCTTGTGCCAGTTCCCCCCCCGGTAGACCCCCTCCCCCCTCAGGTTCCTGCCCCCTCAGGTGTGTCCCAGGTAGACGCAGCTGACCCGATCGAGGTTACTGGTGACTCTGGTGCTGCTGCGGGTGCTGAGCCTGGGGGTGCTGACTCTGGGGGTGCTGTGCGCAGGGGTGCCGAGCCTGGAGGTGCTGCTACTGGGGGTGCTAGGCCTGGGAGTGCTACTACGGAGGGTGCGGAGCCTGGGGGTGCTGAGCCGGGGGGTACGGTGCCTGGAGCTGCTGAGCTAGGGGGTGCTGGGTCTGGGGGTGCTAGGTCGGGAGCTGCTGAGCCTGGGGGTACTGAGTCTAGAGCTGCTGAGCCTGGGGGTGCTACGTCTGGAGCTGTTGAGCCTGGGGTTTCTCCTGCTGCTGCGTCTCGCCGGGAGCCCCTCTCTCCACAGGAGCTGCGCGAGTGGTTTGCTCGCCGCTGGAGGCGTGCTGCTGGAGCTGGAGCTTCTTCGACCGTCGAGGGTGCTGGTGCTGCCGGTCCCGGAGCTGCTGGGTCTGCGGGTACTCCTGGAGCAGGAGCTCCTGAGGGTGTTGGTGCTGAGATTCCTGCTGTCTGTCCCGGCGGTGGTTCTGCTACTGGTGCTGCGGGAGGTCCTGCCGCTGGAGGTGTTGGTGGCGCTGGTGCTGTCGCTGGGGGTGCTGGTGCTGTCCCTGCTGAGTCTGGAGCTGCCGCGCGGCCTCGACCGTACTTCGTTCCGCTCCTGCAGCAGGTTCTTGGTCTTTCTCCTCCGGTAGAGTGTTCACAGCCTGTCCAGTCACAGTCACTGTTGGAGCCTTCCTCTCCACTGCCTGCTCCCTCTCCTTACACTGGTCCTACTGGAGGTCTTGCTGAGCGTCGTGAGCCTGCGTCTCGTCCTGCGTCGCCTGTTCGTGCTGCTCGCACTAGTGGTCGCGGTTCGCGTCAGCGTCCTCCTCCTGTCCCTGGCACGCACCGGATGTCTCTGCGTCCGTCCACTGCTCCTCTGCGTGCCCCTTTGCCTTCTCCTCCTGAGTCCTCTCTTCCTGCCCTTGCCGACCCGGAGTCGGACTCTCTTCGTGCTGCCAGTCCTACTGTCACGCGTCTGCTTGCTACTCTCGTCACTGACCCCTCGTTTGAGTCCACTGCTGCGTCTGCTCTTGTCACTGAGCTCGTCGACTTTGCTGCTCGCTGTCGTCTAGACTACGCTGCTAGTCCTGTTGCTGAGTCTGCGTCTGTCTGTCCTCCGTCCGTCGGGGGTGAGTGTGCTCTTGGCACGGACGTCCTAGAGGACAGGCAGGAGGAGTTACAGTGTCTGGCTGCTGCTTCACCTCATCTTGCGTCTGTACTGCTTGCTCCTGAGGGAGACCCGGATGCACTAGACATCCCGACTCCGCGCTCTTACGCGGAGGCCGTAGAGGGTCCCTACTCGTCTCAGTGGCAGGCAGCTATGGATGCAGAGATGACTTCCTGGAAGTCCACAGGCACCTACGTTGACGCAGTTCCCCCTCCTTGGGCGAACATCGTCAGTGGCATGTGGATCTTCAGGGTGAAGCGGCCGCCGGGCTCTCCACCTGTCTTCAAGGCGCGGTACGTTGCTCGTGGCTTCAGTCAGCGGCAGGGAGTTGACTACTTTCAGACCTTCTCTCCCACCCCGAAGATGACCACTCTTCGGGTGCTGCTGCACATAGCCGCTCAGCGCGACTACGAGCTTCACTCTCTTGACTTCAGCACTGCGTTCCTACAGGGTAGCCTGCACGAGGAGATCTGGCTGCGCCGTCCACCTGGCTTCACTGGGACTTTCCCTCCTGGCACCCAGTGGAGCCTTCGACGGCCAGTCTACGGTCTCCGCCAGGGACCGCGTGAGTGGCACGACACACTGAGGACTACGCTTGCGGCTCTTGGGTTTGCTCCTTCTACTGCTGACCCGTCGCTGTTTCTTCGCACCGACACTTCTCTGCCGCCGTTCTACATCCTCGTGTACGTCGACGACTTGGTCTTTGCCACAGCGGACACTGCTGGACTCGCCTACGTGAAGTCCGAGCTGCTGAAGAGACACACGTGCACAGACCTGAGTGAACTGCGCAGCTACCTTGGCTTGCAGATCACTCGGGACAGAGCACGCCGCACCATTACCTTGACTCAGTCACACATGGTGCAGCAGGTCCTTCAGCGCTTCGGCTTCACGTACTCCTCGCCTCAGGCCACTCCTCTGTCTACTCGCCACTTGCTCTCAGCTCTGCCTTCGGATGAGTCCGTAGAGCCGAGTGGCCCGTACCCAGAGCTTGTTGGCTGCCTCATGTACCTGATGACCTGCACACGACCTGATCTTGCATACCCTCTGAGCATTCTTGCACGCTATGTTGCTCCTGGGAGACACCGACCAGAGCACATGGCTGCAGCGAAGAGGGTGTTGCGCTACCTGTGCAGTACGTCGAGCATGTGGCTAGTGCTTGGAGGGCGCAGTCCAGTGGTCCTTACAGGGCACGCGGACGCTTCTTGGGCTGACGACCAGGCTACGCAGCGGTCGTCACAGGGTTACACCTTCAGTCTTGGTTCCGGCTCTGTCTCTTGGCGGGCTACTCGCTCGTCTTCGGTTCTCAGCTCCAGTTGTGAGGCTGAGATCTACGCTGGGGCCATGGCTGCACAGGAGCTTCGCTGGCTCACCTACCTGCTGACTGACCTTGGAGAGCCGCCTCGTTCTCCTCCAGTGCTGTACGTAGACAACAAGGCCATGCTGGCCTTGTGTCGAGAGCAGCGTCTGGAGCACAGAACGAAGCACATTGCTCTTCGCTACTTCCTTGCTCGTGAGCTGCAGCAGCGTGGACAGTTGCGGCTTGCGTACGTGGCCTCTGAGGCCAACACTGCTGATGTGTTCACCAAGGCACTTGCGCCTTGTGACCATCAGCGCCTCTGCACCCAGCTGGGTCTTGTGCCTGTCTTGCCTCACTTGCTCTCCTCTTGACTTTACTTGTACTGTGACATATATATACCTGCTCTTGCTTGTCTAGTTTTATATATATATGTCTGTACTCCTGCATGTGAACTGGCCTCTGGCCCTGCTCTTGTGCTCGGACTGTGTGGTGACGTTGTGATCCACCCTGAGCTTGCTCTGCTTTGCTTTACTTGACTGGTCTTGTGACCCCTTGCTCTCCCCCACTTTGCCTATGGGGGTGTGTCAGATTTATATGACATATTTGCTGTAGGCTATAGTGGGGTAGCACATATGGGGTACAGGGTTTCTAGGGTTGTATTTGTACCCAATCTTTTCTTAGTCATTCTCATTCCTGTTTACTTGTTTCACACTCTGGCGGTAAGCCGTCTTGGCCCGGCGGCTTGCGCTTTGGTAGCCCTGTCAACCAAGAGGTTCGAGCGGTCGGGTCTCCTGGATGAGTCAACTACCATGGCGGTTACAGTCCTGCTGCACAAAAAGGGACCGACGGATCAGTTAGGCAACTACAGACCCATCACACTGCTGAACACGTCGTACAAGGTGCTGGCAAAACTGCTGGCAAACCGACTTAAGAAGGAGCTTCATTTGGTGATATGAGAGGATCAGCACGGTTTCATACCTGGAAAAGCCTGGCGAACGCAGTCTTAGTGGTGGCCGACGCGGTGGAGGCTGCGGACAACCGGGGGGGGGGAGACTGGTTCCTCCTCATGGTTGACTTCCAGAAGGCATATGACACGGTGGCGAGACCATATCTCTTCGAGACGATGGGCAAACTGGGCATACCGGAGGAATTCATTCGGTGGACCGAGGGGCTGCATCATAGCTCCGGGACGAGAATGGCAATCAACGGCTGGATAGGGGAGAGAGTGGAGATGCAGAGAGGTGTGCGGCAAGGCGGTTTCCTGGGCCCGTACCTCTTCCTGTGCTGTGTAAAAAAATCAAAGAGAAGAAACTGGAATGGAACAAAGGGAAGAAACTGGGGGTGAGCGCGGAAGGGGCAACGGAGCTGTCGTACGTCGGGTACGCAGACGATAGAACACTGATCCTGGAAGGACTGGAGTAGCTGAAGGAAGCGGAGGCAATCTTGGAGGAGTTTGGGGTGATGTCAGGCCTGCGGACGAACAAAGACAAATCGGTGGTCATGGCGCTGGGAAGGAACAAAGGGAAGAGCGGAGCAGAAGGGGTGAATTTCAAATAGGCAACAGACGGCGTGCCGGAACGCCTGCTCGGGATTTGGGTCATGCCTGATGGGGACGCGGGGCCCTCCTGGAAGAATGCGTGGGAGAGAGGGAAAACAGAGTTAATTAAATGGGAAAGCCAACATCTGCTGATAGCCGCGAGGGTGACAGTAATCAACGCGTACATCATGCGGATCTTCATATTTCAGGCGCAAATTTACCCGTCGCCGGAGGAGCTCTGGAAGCACATCCAGAAGACGTGCGACAACTACATCTCCAGCGGGCAGACCACGGGAGACAAGCTTTTTGTGCTGTGGAGTGGGGAGTTGGTGCGCTTGCCAAAGAACGAAGGGGGACTGGGGCTGATAGACCCCAAAACAAGGATCGACAGCATGGCGGTCAGGATTGCCGGGAAGCTGATCCCGGAGAACAACGCCACAAAGCGGTGGTTTGCGGAGAGGGCAGCGGCATTACCTCAAGGAGTGGCGACGCTCTTCGCGGACCCATCGGCAGCGAAGCATTGGCCGGGAGGCAGCCAGCGATGGAAGGCAGCGGTTGAGGCATTCTGGGAGTCCCCGTACGCGGAGCTGCCGGAGCCGAAAACCAGTTGGGAGGTGGAGCAAGCGATGGTGTGTTTCAACCGCAAAGTAATGTTCAAGGGGAAGAGCCTGTATGGGAACCAGCAGGGCACAGAAGAGATCGGAACGGCAAGCTTTGGCGTCCTGGTGGAGGAAGGGCCGGGAAGGGAGCGCGTAGTGAAGAGCAAAGAAACGCTGAGAACGGAACTAGGGGGCATAGTGGCAGCTAGGTGGGCACTGATGGCATACGCGGCGATGTTGGAGGAGTGGAAAACGATGGTCACGGCAAGCAAATCAGCGGAGGCGGTGGCAGCGGCCGCGGATGTAGTAAGGTCATTCCTCTCGCTGACTCAGGAGCACCTATACTGGAAGGTGGCTGGGGTGCAAGACAGCAAACACGTGGAACTTTTGAGCATAAGGTGCAGGAAAGACGGAAATCTGGAAGAGTGGAGTAGATCAAATAAGGCGGTTTTCGATGTCAAGAGGGTGGAACAGGTGGCAGTCAGAGGAGGCAGAGTCCTGGGGGCGCTAGGAGCGCCGCTGACGAGGCTACGACAATCGGACATACTAGACGTTGAAGGGCTTGTCGGCGAAGGCGAAGGTGATTCGGCGAGCACTTATGGGCCCGACAACAGCATTAGGGAAACGAAGCGAGTGGGAGGAAAGATGGGAGAAGAAGATCGACTGGAAGAAGGCGGAAAGAAGACGGGAATTTTTGGTAGTGCCTGTTAGGGCGAGGGACGTGCTGCTGAGGATGCACAGCCTGAACTTGCAAGTGGGAGGCAGACTGAAGTTCCTGGGGGAGAGGGCGCGGTGTTCGCACTGCGGAGAACCTGAAACCCTAAGGCACTGCATGTTCAACTGCCCGCTGGTACAACTTGTCATCGGAGCGCTGCTCCGCTCGCTACAGCTGCTAGATCGAACAAGCAACCCGAACTTGCTGGGCGACCTGCTGTTCAAGGAGGGGGGCACACGGTCAGGATTCCCAGTGACAACATTGGTGGCAACGACCCTCCGGCACGTTTGGCTGGCGAGGTGCAACATGGTCTGGAGAGGGGAACATTTCTAGCGGAAAAAGGTGGCCAGGGGGGCGATCCGGGATTTTGTGTTGCATGCCCAGATTTACCGGACTGAACAAACACGAGTGGCACGTAGGAAGGGCAAAGCGAAACAAGGGACTGACCCGTGGCGAGATCTGAAGGGGGACGAGCAGGCGGCGGTGGCACTGCTCAGCGAACCAGGGGATAAGGCCACGTGGAGCGACGGGTTTCTCTCCATCTGGCGTCAAGAACAATAAGACGACCTCCGTACCGTAGATATACCATGGAGTGAACGATTTTCAGAGAGGAGGTAGAGTCGATCCGCTCCTGAATATCAGTTACGATGAGGATGTATGCACTATTGATAGTGTAATAACATTCACAAAAACAAAAAAAGATGCTTTCAGTTGTGCAGCCCACCCAGAGTTGGAGGAATGCTGAAACTCTCGCTGATGGAGGCGAACGTGCCACGCCAAATTTTCCAAACTTGGATCGTCTGCACGTGTCCAGCATAGGTTGTTGACATTTGACAGATCACCGCCACCGAGGTCTCGCAGGCCAGGCATGGCAAATTGCGTGGCTGTCATTGCGGGAGACGTAATCTTTGATATTGGTTACAAGACGACTCGATGTAAAGTATGATCGATCATTCCATGCTGTACACGAACCTCGGAGAGTAAACATCCCAAAGGGCTTTCACCAACTCATTCAAGCTACGGTACTTTTCCTCCCTGGACCACTTCCTAGTACCTTTCACCACCTTCCAAACCGCTTTTAGCCCGTGGTCCTCGCCTAACTCCATGGCGCATGTTTTAGCATTGTTACTGGTATCCATGTCCTCAGATTCACTTTTCCGGACGTTGATGCATTAGGGTCCCTGTGAAAAAAAGCCTGAAATTTCAGGGTTCCTGAAAAAAAAATGCCTGAATTTTCAGGGCTCCTAAAAAAAGAAGCCTGGATTCTCAATCACATAATGCCTTTGTATATGAGAGTTCTCTTAACGAAACATGACAGACGAGGTGCTCGAACTGGGAACTTTACCATTCGGTATCAATTTTGCTAGCCACTGAGACAGTTCATCCTTTCAGTCGCCAGTGTCTTATGGGTTTCTGTTACGGGTGCAATGAATCGAGGTAGCGAGGATTGCACAAGAGTGTTCAAAGACTATAAGGTATGAGCGAAGGCATGAGCGAATACTTATAGGCGAAACATGAGCGAATAATTATAGGCGAAACATGCAAACGGTAACGTGGTGCGTGCGAGCTAGCTAGTGCTACACTAGCGTGAGGTTCCGGCTAGTCCCGAAGCGTAGGCCGACTCGGCTGCTCCAGCTGTGCGAGGTTTGGTGAAACAGTGCGCACGAAGTTGGCGAAGCCCCGTTAGCAGTAACGGGCAAACAACGGCTGCTGCTATACGCGATGTTGGCGGTCACAATAAGGAAAAGCGAGAAATTTCCTTCCACTACCCCCTCCCCCCCCCCCCCCCCCCCCCCCCCCCCGAAGCCCCCTCCGCTACGTGAGTGCGTGTATATCGGGGAAACCCCGGCTCCTTAGGTACACTTGCTAGACAGGGTGGTTTTCAATGTTGACCAGGGGCACCCAGATATCTTCAATTGGCGTGTGGTCCTTCCAGCGAATGAGGAACTCGATCCTCTTGATGCCTGTGAGGTGTCGAATCCGATTGCTCAAGAATTTCTCGGGCTCAACAATCGGCTCCGATGCGGGGCGGGTCATGGATGGCGGGCGGTGACAAGGCAGTTGGCTCGTGGTTGGGATGTAAGGGCGAAGTAGGCTGACGTGGAATGATGGGCTGATGTAGCAGTCTGCCGCCAACAGTAAATGGGCTATAACAGGGGTGATCATGTGGCTGATTTGGAATGGTCCACTGTAGCACGGTTGTAATTTCGGTACTACGGGCTGTCTTAAGTTCTGTGTATCGAGCAGTACATAACCTCCTGACTGGTACGTGATTGGGCGGCGGGGGCGGTCAGCGTTGCGTTTAGCAATGACGTTGGCTCCTTTAATCGCTGCGGCGACTCTGGTGCGGACAGCATGCAGGATCCCGACAAATTGCAGTGCGCGTGGTGTTGGGTTGTCCGGGCTCGGCATCATGGGCACTGTTGGATTTTGCTTGTAGTTCAGGTAAAACGGGGACTGGTGCGTTGTCGCTGACGTGGCATTGTTGTAGGCGAACTCGATTAGCGGCAGCTGCTGCTCCCAAATTGTCGGGTCGTCGCACGTGACCCGAATCAACTGCTCCATCGTTTGATTGGTCCGCTCTGTTTGACTGTCGGTTTTGGGGTGGTACGATGAACTGAACTATAGCCTGGTCCCGAACTGCTCCCACATGTTCTTTCAGAAGTTGCTGGTAAACTTCGTGTCACGGTCACTGATGATTACGGCTGGTATCCTGTGTAGTCGAACGACGATTGCGATGAACAGGCGAGAGGGTTCTTCGGCTGAGATCAATTTCATGCACGCAGCGAAGTGAGCCATTTTCGTCAGTTTGTAAATGACAACCACTATCGCGTCGTTACCCCCAGGGTTCGAAGCTAACCCCGTGATGAAATCCATGGTAACCCCATGGCTGCCAGGCGCGCTCGGGCTGTGGAATCGGTTGCAATTGACCCGCCTTTCTTTTCCGTGAGCTCTTTATCACCTCACACGTAGAGTACGAGCCCACGTGGTGCTGTATGTCGGTCAACAGCTCAGGCCAGTAGTAATACCGCTGTAGTTGCTGTCGCGTCTTTTCTACCCCGCAATGACCTGAGGTAACCCCGTCGTGTGCCTCTGTCAAACTCATATGCTTCACGTTGTGTAGGCTATAGTGGGGTAGCCCATATGGGGTACAACCCAATTAGGGTTAGTACTTGTACCCATCCTGCTGCTAGTTCGTTCATCCCTGCTCTTAGTTCTTGACATGGTATCAGAGCAGAAGGTCCGTAGGACCGTTTTTTTTTCGGGCCCACCATTACCTAGTGACCGACTACGGTTACCACGTTACCCCACGCACTGTCCTGCGCTGCGCCGTCAGCGCGCACCCTGTCCTGCTCTGCCCCGCGTTGCGTTGCTCCGTGCACACCCTGCCCTGCGTCGCGCTGCCTTGTGCACACCCTGCCCTGCCCCGCGTCGCGCTGCCTCACGCACGCCCTGCCCTGCGTGTCCCGCCCTGCTGCAGCCCGCGCTTCGCGCTCTGCTGCCCCGCGCGTCGCGCTTTGCTGCAGCCCATGCGTCGCGCCCTGCTGCCCCGCGCGTCGCGTCCTGCTGCAACCCACGCGTCGCGCCCCACTGCTGCCCGGGCGTCGTGCCCTGCAGCCCGCGCGTCGCACCCTGTTGCCCCGCGCGTCACGCCCTGCTGCAGCCCGTGCGTCGCGTCCCTCTGCTGCCCAGCGCCGCCCTGCCCGTGCGCATGCTGCCTGCGCCACGCGCCCTGCCCTACCTGCGCCACGCGCCAGCGCCCTGCCCTACCTGCGCCTTGCGCCAGCGCCCTGCCCCGCGAGCGCTAGCGCCTTGCCCTGCCCGTGCCAGCGCCCTGCCCTGCCAATGCGCCAGCGCCCTGCCCTGCGCACGCTGGCGCCCTGCCCTGCCCGCGCCAGTACGTTGCCCTGCCTGCTCCACGCAACCTGCAGCCCGCGAGCCGCCTCTGCAGCGCCCACTGCACCCTAGGTGCTGCTGCCCTAGAAGCTACTACCTGCTGCTGCCTGCTACTGCCCTGTTCTGGCCGCGCACCGCCCTGCTCTGGCCGCGCGCCGCCCTGCTCTAGCCGCGCGCCGCCCTGCTCTGGCCGCACGCCACCCTTCACTGACCGTGCACCACCCGGACCTACCCTAGTGCCTCCTCGCCACCCTTCCTTCCCTACGTGTTGCCCTGCTGGTCGCATGAATTTTCTTCACGGCAGTGGTGGGAGTGGTGGCGGCGGTGGCGACAGCAGTGGGAGTGGTGGCGGTCTCAGTAGCAGTCGCTTTAGAGCTGTTCGGTGGGGAGTTTCTGGCGGTGGCCAGATGCAACTGCAGCGACGTCCGAGCAAGACCCTTATGCCCCAGCAGCTTCGTGAGTGGTACGCTTGTAGGTGTCGTAGCGGCAGTAGTGGCACTCGCGATGCGGCTAGTCAGTTGGGAATTTCTGGCGGTGGCCTGGTGCAGCTGCAACCATGTCCGCGCGAGACCCTTACACCTCAGCAGCTTTGTGAGTGGTACGCTTAGTGTGGGGGGTCTTTGAGTAGTGCTCGCTGCCCGTACGTCATTCGCACAGGTGATCGGGCTGGTCAGACATGCGGGAAACCTGGCCACACATAGTCCCGCTGCTTTTCCTGTCTGAGCGACACCTGGCGTGCAGAGTTTGGCGACGCGGCTGAGCTCCCCCGCTGGCTAGAGCTGCTTAGGCAAGGCGTGGATGTCTTTGCCCTAGACGATGACGCTATCATTACTGCTAGATATGCATTGACGGTTAGTGCTGAGGGTGACTGTTACCTGTGTGTGCCGCCCGACCCATGTATAGAGGTTGCTGCTCTAGGTGCTAGTGCGTCTGCTCTCTCTGGTACTTTGCCTGCTGAGGCCTTGCACACCTTCACACTTGACTCAGGTGCTTCCCGCTGTTTCTTTCGTGACAGTACCACAGTCACACCACTCCCTGCACCTATTGCTGTCAGATTGGCTGACCCCTCAGGGGGCCCAGTTCTTGCCCGTTCTGCCAT